CCTGCTGGAGCCGCTGTGAGTGACCGAAGTACACTTAAGGCAAAATACCTGTAGAAGAGTTAAAACGCTTTCTCCAGGAATGAAGCCTGTAATTTTCTTTTCTACCCAACGGGATTTCAACAACCTAATTCTTGCTCTACACTTGTATAGCCTCTTCGTCACCCAGCTCGCCCTGTCAGAACAACACCTACACGGTAAATACATGTAATCGTGCTGCTCTGATAGCTTCCTGTTTTCCCTGGCCTGGGAGCTAGGTGAACATCTTAAATCCTGCAGCAAATTAATAGAGCTGCCATCATTTTAAAATCAACGCAGCGCTAAAAGGCTTCCTCCTTTCTCTCCCCAAATCGTAAATTTTTTACTTCAAAAATACCCTGGCACACAGACAGCTGTTGCCGGTCCTGACCTTAGCTGAGGCCAATGACAGATTTCCTATGCGTGAGAAATCGCATGCCTTTAAAACTCTCTCAAACGCTGCGGGACTACAACCAGGCTTGATGCTTCGGGGGGAGGTAGCAAAGCCTTTGTGCTTATGGCACCGTCACGAGACGACAGCGAGAAACCTTCCCTTTCTCTCAAGCTACCTACCTCCTTGTAGCGGAAAAAGTAGGAAAAAAGAAAATGCAAACAAACCCCTCCAAAGCCAGTTATCTCTTCCCCTGCGGATCGTTATTTTTAGGAGAGCAGAAACTTCCTGCAAATTCTTTGATTTCACTGAAAACACATTTGGGCTGGGAACAGCTGAGCCGTCGCAACAAAGACAGCAGCGAGCTGCTCAGATTGCAGCGGCAGTACCGGTATCTGTGAGCAGCTGGGCCGCAAATATCAAACTCGTCGTTCAAAGAAATAAAAAGATAGTTGTGACTACACAATTTTTACAGCCTGTCAGGCAGGAAAGCTGGAGAAACCAAACGACAAGGAGGAAAGCAGCGAGCGAGGCAGGCGACAGCACCACGCGCTTGGCTGGGCAGGTCCAGGCCCACAGCTGCCGAGGGAGAAAGGCCCCTGTCCGCTCGGGGGACTGCGCCAGGCCGGCGCGGCCCGTTCGCGTTCACGTTACGGCAGCGAAACCTTTTATCAACAGCCCCCATCAGCTTTTTCTCCTTGTTGTTATTGAGCCATCCCCTTCGCAGAACTAGGGCGGAAAAAGGCGAAGAGAAGATCTCGGCGAGGACAGAGGGGCCTTGCTGGAGGAGCCAGGCAAGGGCATGCCCTTCACAGCGTCAAGGGGCACGCGGAGAGGTGGGAGGCAGCGGCGGCGAAGCGAGCTGGTGGGAAGACGCGTAGGCCAGAGCAGCGTTTGGCGTAGGGCACCCGAGCGACGCCAGAACAGGCGTTTAGCAGGGCTGATGAGTAGTTCAGGACAGACCATCAGACGGTGCTCACGCCCAGGAAGATGAAGGAGAAAGGACGGGCCGGCAAGGGGATTAAAACGCAGGAGCCGGGTGCAGACGATGGAGAGGAAAGGGTGTTTTTCCCCGGGTGGCGTGGGCAGAAGCAGCAGGACTCGGTGACAGGTGAGGAGGGGAGCGCTAAAGGCCAACAGGCAGATGGGGAAGCTGTGATTAGAAAGTCACTCCAGTCATAAATCTTGGGGACCTGAGCTGGAGACGGGCAAGTCCCAGATGGCTTGGAAAGTCTGCCTGGTTGAGGCCGGTGCATCTGTCGCTCCGCTCGCCCAGCGCTCCTTTTCCTCCCTCCCACCGTCTTTTAACTCGCTGCTTAGAGCGCGCACCGAACCACGCACCTCTGAACCCGAAACCACGCACCGCTTCCGCACAAACTGAAGGGCTAGCGAGGTCGCAACACCGATCTTAGCCAGCCCCGGCACGAGATGGAGCAGGGACCTTCCCCGCGCTGCTGGGAGCTAGGCGCAACGACCCCTCTCCCCGAGGCGGCTCCCGCAGCTCCTCCGCTTGCTCGCCTGCGGGCGTAACGGGGGGGGCAGCGCCAAGCGCAGGCTAAGGGGCATCTCCAAAGCTGGGTGAAGGAAGGCTCCCCGCACAGCCACCCACGCTATTTCGGGATATGCCGAGGGAGCAGGGACCTTCCCCGCGCTGCTGGGAGCTAGGCGCAACGACCCCTCTCCCCGAGGCGGCTCCCGCAGCTCCTCCGCTTGCTCGCCTGCGGGCGTAACGGGGGGGGCAGCGCCAAGCGCAGGCTAAGGGGCATCTCCAAAGCTGGGTGAAGGAAGGCTCCCCGCACAGCCACCCACGCTATTTCGGGATATGCCGAGGAGCCGCTCAGCGCTGGATTTGCAGGCGAGCACGGAGGCGTATCGGCTGTCCGTGCTTTGGAAGGGGCTCAGGGCTAGACGAGGGGCAGCAGATTGGGAGGGAAAGGGACTTATATAGAGCTCCATGGGGAAAACCCGCGTCTCAAAACACGAGTAACCTAACACCAGGCGGTAGTACTAGCTCCCGCCTGCGGACTCAGGAAAAAAACTCCCCCC